AGGGGGGATTTCACTAAAAATTCCACCGGAAACGCAAATTACTACCAGCGATAGTAAGTGTCCAGGGAATTGTGTTACGTGTATCAGACCTCGAGTGACCCCAGGACGTTACACGAAATTAGTGTGAAAACGGTAAACGGGTAGTCAAACAATTGCTACCCTGTCTCGGCCGCAAAAGGGGTTTTCCTGAAAATTACCACCGGAAACGCAAATTTACTCCCACGATAGTAGGTGGTCCGGGGGACTGTTGTTACGTGTGTCGGACCTGCCACCTCGTCGCCGAGCCGGCAAAAAGGGTGAAAACAGGTAACCGGTAGCAAAACAATTGCTTAACCTGGTCTCGGCCGCAAAAGGGGATTTTCACTGAAAATTACCACGGAAACCAAATTTACTACCCACTAGTAGGTGTCCGGGGACTGTGTTACGTGTGTCGGACCTCGCACCTCGTCGCCGAGCCCGGCAAAAGGTGAAAACAGGTAAACGGGTATTCAAACAATGCTTAACCTGTCTCCGGCCGCAAAAGAGGATATTTCACTTGAAAATTACCACCGGAAACGCAAATTTAAACTACCCACGATAGGTAGGTGGTCCGGGGGACTGTGTTACGTGTGTCGGACCTCGCCCACCTCGTCGCGAGCCGGCGCAAAAGGGTGAACACAGGTAAACGGATAGTCAAACAATTGCTTTGCCTGCCTCGGTGACAAAAGGGGGAGTTTCAATAAAAATTTACCACCGGAAACGGAAATTTACTACCCACGATAGAAGTGTCCCAGGGAATTCGTCCACTTCGTTAACAAACTGATGGGCAAATGGACAAGCGGGGGAAAACGGCCGAGTCGCTGCTCCAGGCTGTGTGCATTGTGTTAGGGAACCCTATGAAGGGTGTACATGAGTGTATACATGTTTTAAATAGTAGGATACCTCCAGGGCGCATCACCACATTTTACAAGCCAGGGAAGGTGCATGGACCCCTGGTAATCATTGATTAAGTGTTTTTAAATGTGTGGAACAGTGTTTTGTCACTTTCAAAACTCTCCTGTCATTGACCGGAGAAATTGGGTCTATGTTGTATTCAATCTGGCCAGTAATATTCCAGTGAGACGAAGTACGTCCATTGACCGGAGTGATCCCATGTTAATTGTGTCCAAAAACCGGAGCATTCCCTAGCCCTAATCCTAACTCTCACACCAGATACTGACTGGTTTTCGGACCCCCCCCCCCCAATAAAGCAAAAATGCATGTTTAAGGGTGGCCTTTTATTGTGGCCAGCCTAAGGCACACCTGTGAAATAATCATGCTGTCTAATCAGCATCTTGATATGCCACACCTGTGAGGTGGGATGGATTATCTCGGCAAAGGAGAAGTGCTCACTATCACAGATTTTTTCAGATTTATGGACAATATTTGAGAGAAATGGTTATTTTGTGTATGTAGAAAATGTTTTAGATCTTTGAGTTCATCTCATGAAAAATGGGAGCAAAAACAAAAGTGTTGCGTTTATATTTTTGTTCAGTGTATATATATATAACTCTTGTTGGTTAATTGCCTCAAACACACATGGCTGGCCTCGTGTTATCTGCTAAAAGGAAGTGGAGGGAGGAAACCAATTTAGCCCTTCAGAGTAAAAGCTTTCATCTCGGTCCAACACTTAATTGAACCTCTTAAGTAACTGATCAAGTCTTTATTCCCTGATCATAATCAGTCACTGATCAAACTGCTGAGACAGAAGGCTATCGAGCTCTTCAGTCCCTGGAGACCACTTTGTTGTGCTCATTTGTTAATGCCCGTTTATGGTCTCCTACATCAGAGAGTTGTTTGCACCCACTTTGATGTTTCAGTGAAACATTGTGATTGCCTTTGGACTAATAATTAGCTCAGATGAATTCATGCAAGCCATGTATAGAGAGGCCATAAACAAGTACAAAGGCTGCATTTAGTTGATCGAAAATTGCTTCTTGCAATTTATGGAGGTGGACAAAACAACATGAAAAACCCTTTGGATCTATTTGCAATCCAATGCAATATCCATGCAATAAACAATACCTTTGTGAAGTTTTTTATGTATATTTTACTGTGTGTCACAGAGCAGAGGTTAGTTAAACTTTATGGGAACTATGAAGCTGTACTTTATGGTTCTGTTGCATTGCCTCTGTAAGATGCAGAGACTCTTCAACACATTTCCCTATACATTTCTATTCCAGTTGTCATGGCTGTAGCAGCGGCTCCATATTGTCTTCTGTGGCTCTGAGACAAGCTCTTGTTAAGTGTGAGAAAAGTAACTCTGATCACTTGGATTTGGCTTTGTGACTACAATTCACCAGAACTGCAATACAACAGTTTGTTTTTCAGTTTTTAAAAGTCAGGTTATCTTGGCCTTTGTTGCACAACTTTTTCCCCTTTTTTTGAGATATTTCTATCTACAGAAGTTGCCCAGATGTATGCTAAACTAAATCTCTGCAAAACCCCTTTAATTATATTTATTTATTTATTTGTTTCTCTCTCTCTCTCTCTCACTCTCTCTCTTGCTCTCTCTCGCACGCACTTTGGCGCCTGATAAGCCAACATCCCCCACTTTCATCACTTACAGCGCCCATTGTACAGGGCAGATGAAACGTGTAACCCTCCCAGAGCTACCAGCTCAGCGCCCCCCCAGATCTGGCGCCCTTTGCCAAAAAACGGCCCTTCGCAAAAATACTCTCAAAACGAGCGTTAGTGCATCTTGTTAACTTAAGTTGGCAAGTAAGGACATATACTACTTAGGCGGCCACAATATCAAAGTCTTCTACGCAGCAAATACCTTGATATTCTTTCAATTGATATTGTTCACTGTCAGATAGGTTGAAGGAAATATATTTTTCCTTGTGTCTTACAGACGTTATTCCCATCATAACCAAGAAAAAGCTCGCACCTATAGCTGGGCTCAGAATCCGGGCATTGAACACAACTACTCAGGACCCGGAGGACCTCTCTATGGCCGCCTGTGTTACAGCAGCCACACGTTACCCGTTCTCCGCCGCACACCAGGTGGAACATTTGAACCGGCCCTTGCCGAGCTGGGATACCGCTACCCTGGGGGCCAGCCAGACCACTCTCTGGTCATCCAAAACCAGGGGGCTATGGTGGGGGCCATGGAGTCCGGGGCGGTGTACATCACTCCAACAGAACTCAGCACGGGCAGCCGAACAGGGAGTCGAACGGGAAGCCGTGATGGAACTGGACCCCAAAGCGGGGTTAGCACTTCGGATGGAGGGACACCGAGGACCAATGACAGTCGTGAGAGAGGTGGAGGGACTGGAACTGCGAGCAACTGCACCGAGGGGAGCAGTGAGGACAAAGTGAACGGCAGTCAAGATGTGGACTGGGTAAGAAACAATCTGACCTATTTCACACCAAATGCACAATATGGGAGCATAATTCAGCCAATCTAATTTGACCCCAAATATGCTATGACAAGCGTACAATGGCCTTCTGGCTTTTACAGCCGAACATATAAAGCAGAAGTAATAATGCCAGTTAATAGGCGATTGACAGATGGGTTTGGATGGATGGATGGATGGACAGATGCATAAAAGGGTGGTTGGGCGGGTAGATGAATGGATGGATAGATGGATGGGTTTGGATGGACAGATGCATAAAAAGATGGATGGGTGGTTGGGTTGATGATTTTGGATGGATTGGTTCAGATGGATGGATAGATGGATGGGTAAATGCATGGATGGATGGATGTTTCAGCGAGAGCAAAAATGTGATAGACGTTGCGCCTAAAATGAATTAAAATGAATGATTGACTTTATTAATGATAGATTGCTGCATGGGAAAAAGGCATTAAAGATGAATGAATAGCTCAATTATTAAATGGGTGAGTTTGAAAGTAATTAAGCAAGTGTAAAATAATAATTACGTTTGCGACCATACTGATATGCTTTATTATTAAAGTGATTGCAACGCTATCATATTCTTCATCACTACGCCACAGTCCTACAATGGCAGAAAGTCTAATGCTGTATAATGCTGGAGGATGATAATGATTCAAACATGTCAGCACATTTATATCCTGCTGTTCATTATCTTTTTCTTGGTTTTGTTTTATTTATTAGGCCATATAAAGTCTGTCTGGCCCTTCCTTTTTTTAATTTTTCCAATATTTTATCTCTCGATCACTTCCCTCTCCATCTCCCCTTCACAGTGCAGTGTTAGCTCATTCTAGTGTTCAATTAATATCTATGGCTTCTTCCAACTCTGCCTTTCTTCCACTCTCTTCTTCTGTCTCCCATTTATGTTTTTTTGTCATCATATGTTTCCCCTGCTTCCCTTATGTTTGTCCCCCGTCTTTTCATTACTTTATCCCAAATTCATCTCATTTTATCTCAACCAAACCTAACAGTACCACACTCTACCCCAACCCCGAACTGAAACCACTCGTGCTCGCCTACGTTCCCTCCAGGTGCAGTCGGAGACATTACCCAGGGAGCATCACCTCGTCATGACCAGATCTGGCTCCATGGTGGGCCAGGGTCACGCTGCAGGAGGCTGGGTCTGCGACTCGTCTACCCTCCCCCTCTCAGGACGCAGGGCCTCCCGAGGGGTCTTGTCCCCGAAACGCATGGGTTCCGGTCATGCTGAATATGACTCCAGCGGAGGAGGGGGAAATGGAAATGGGCGAACAAACCCAGATGGACAGCATCCTGCGAGTGCGCGGAACTACGCCACTGTCCTCCAGGGGGAGGTGAACGGACACAGGGACTATCCCGGCAGCTTGGGGAGAGGAGGACTAGAAATGGGGAGCAACTTTGTGGTGGCCAGGCAGGACAGGGATGGCGGAGGGATATCATCCGTTTACCCAGAAGCTGCTGGGATGATCGGGGACTGGCGTGATCGGATGGGTTTAGGGGGGTATGTTTTAGGAAGAAGGGATATAACCCCCCAGATTTTCCCCTTCCATGGGCAGCCTCGGGGAGCATACGGAGGGGTGATGGGCTTCGGGTCCGGCTGGGTTCCGGGAATGGATTCTGCCCGAGGAGCTCCAGGGCCGGGGGGTCCCTCCCTAGCACTGAGGGTGGGCGAGTTCCTACGCCTGCGTCTCGCCCAGGTCACTTTTGACCCGTCGCAGCCACCGTACGACTCTGTGCAGGTGTACGGCCTGGAGGGCACAGGGTCCCGGGCCGGGTCCCTCAGCTCCCTGGAGAGCGAAGGAGAGAAGGATGCGGAGAAGGAAGAGTGGGGGGCTGGGCTGGAGGAGTGGGGACCCCAGTTCCATAAATTAGCTCAACTCTTTACAGACAGGGAGAAAGAAAAAGAGGAAACAGATGAAGTCGGTGCCAAAACGGAGAAGGAAAAGAGAGATGAGCCGGAGAAGAAAGAGGAAGGGGAGAAGGCTGGAGAAAAGGGAAAAGACTGAGGAAACGATAGAAACGAAACAAATAAGGGGCAAAGGGGGTAAGAGAGAGAGGGAGGGGATGGGGGGATGATGAAAAGGCAACCAGAGCTAGAATAATGTGAAGAGAAGTTAAAGGAGAGAAAGATGAAGAGGCAAAGTAATCAAAAGAGACAGAGAGAAATGAGCCTAGGAAGGGAGGAGAGTGCGAGGGCAGGGGAGGGAGTGATTGATGTAATTTAAAGCAATAAGTGTTGAAACGCTGATATGGTTGAGCACAGATACTGAGACAATGCAGAGACTGCTTCGGCTCGGGGCAGCAACAATTTGTTAAATGCTTTGGACAAAGAAAAACAACCCAAACATCCAACACTCGATTTAATTCAACTCTCACGTATACGGAATGATGAAGCAGCAGGAAACAAGAAGTGTTGTTGTCGTGCAGGTCCGCGCTTTGTGTGTTTGTGTGTGGGAAAGTCTGTGAGAGGATATGGGTGTGTTTGCAAATTGTGCAAAATCGCACTTCTATGGGTGCATATTTAAAAAAGAAGGAGGAATCATGATACCCAGGGACGATTTCAAGATGGGACTGATGACTGATGACACGCGAGCTGCAACATTAGTTTTCGGGACAATGTGCAAGAGTGAACAAATACAAAGCGAGTTGATAAACTAGGATAACACACCGAATGAAATATGTATTTGAATATAAAGTCTACGGATGTATTGAGAGAGAAATTATGGGGGGAAAGTGAGAAGATTGTACAGAAACTGTTACTTTATATTTCCATCTGCAGTGGCAGAAAAGTGAATTATTCAGCTCACTACTTCATTCCAAATGAAAATGATAAATCATTTAAATCCTGCAAAAGATTCCCCCTCCTCTCAGCCCACAAGGAACACAGACATTGTGAAAGATTTAAATGCGTTAGGGATGTGATCCCCACAACCCCTACCCCTGTCATCCCTGCAGCTTTTTGTAGTCGAGTGTTGGTATGTTTACAAAGATGCACACACAAACACACAGGACACAAAAAAAATGATGATAAGGCTTTGATTGTACTACAGTAAATTATAAAAGAAAAAAAACACATCCACTAGAATTCCATCTACTTTACAAAGTAATGAACACCCTATTATTCATCTCTTAAATGTTTTTATGGAAGAAAGTCTCTTATTTGTTATCACCCACTCTAGTCTCACTCTACAAGTCTTTAGGACAGTATGCATGAAAACCTAAAGAGGCAATCAAATCCATTCTGAACACTTCCCCAATGAAAAATATTCATATTATAACACTGCAGAGACTCTCGTGAAAATAGGCTTTTCGTTCTTGTTTAAAGGTCAGGATGCAAATGAGCTGGAGTTTTCAGCTGGAATGCACTTTTATACCATGTGATGTTTAATAATAGATTAATCATGTCAAAGATTACATTTGTTTTATAAGATGTCAATTAAACAAAAAAAAAGAACTGTATGTAAAAACATTTCAAATGTAAATACCACTGAATATTATTCCTAAAAGAGAGTATATAAAATAAGTGAAAAAATCCAAATGGAGTACTGTTGGGACTATCTGTATGTACTGTAGATTAGAAATGGATTTACTCAAATGGATTTAACAGCCTCCTGGACTGAAAACAACACCATGTATTCTCCACCTGTGTAATAAATGAGCAGGGTTGTTTTGTGGTAGCGCTCATCTGAGATGGACAAGCCAGGCATTCAATAATACATTTGGCCTCCAGCAGAGATTTGTTGTGCAAAATATTGGTAACAGGAAGCTTCTGCTATCGAGGATCCCAGTGGGAGGAAAAACTTCATGTGGCGAGGAGAAATACCCCTAATGGGCATACAACAGAAATTCAGTATATTTTCCCCAAAATCTGAATTATTATTCAGCCAAAGTGATACAATAAAATAGAATTTCTAATATGCTCCGTCAGTGTTGCACTGCCTGAGAGACACAAATTAAAGATTTAAAGATGGTTACTTAACTTAATATAAGTAACCATCTTAATATAATAAACTGTACCTTTTGAGAGTAGGATTTTTAATAATGTCTATCAAATGTAATCTTTCCTGCATTTCAGGCAATGCAACTCAAGAACCAGCATTCTGCTTTGATCAAGTCAAGTCTAATTTTGTAAAATAATGACCTTAGACTCAGATTTGTTTCATTTGTAGGAGTCCTAGGGAATTTCGTCCTCACACCCTAACCAGAATGTGGAAGCTTTTGGTGTGCCATTACCGAAATGTTACCATTTGGTTCACTGTAAAGCCACCCACATGCCACCAGTTTGGTCTGCCCATAATCTTGTCGTCTTCTGTCAACATTTAGTTAATCAATCAGGAAGTCAGGCTTTACTTGGGCTTAATCAAAACCCAAACACAACTCTATACCCTTTAGCTGAGCCACATACTTGTCCATACAGTTCCACGGTTGCAAATGGATGTAACCAGGACCATTGTAAAAAATAACGCACAATGACAGTAGAAGAGTGGGGGGTGCAGAACCTTGGGGTGTTCTTGGTTATTAAATAATAGAGCTTAACTAGATACCTGAAAGCTACTTTTATGTTTCATCAGCTTTGTAAAAACAATCCAAATCGAAATTCACTTACATCAGCATACTCAGTGCCAACATTAGGAAAATTCCGGTTTATTACAACTTGGGTCTTCCTTTAATATATTTTTCCAATATTTAGAGCTTGGCACTGGAATTCCAGGCCAGTCAAAGGTATTCTGAAGATAACATGGAGCAATCAAGTTATTACAAAAAAATTCTGTTAACAAAAGATATCAACGTTTCCTGACCTATGTCCGGGTTTAAATCTGATCCACTGAACTTGCCTTAGTTCTGCCTGCACACGGCGTTCCTATAATAAGATAAGAGATGAGAACCATTGGGACCATTTTTTCCTAGACATTTGAGAGAATAAAAAGAGAGAAATTATAACAATCATTTTGAACCCATTTACACCAGGTCATTTCATGTGTCTTGCTCAAAGACCTGTATATCTGGATTCTAAAATACTGACTTGTCAAGTTGTAATACACCAGAATTATGATGTAACCATTATTGTATTGGGGAGAACTGTCAAAGGATATCCAATAGAGGGATAACATTGATGTCTCTTATGATGATTTCACTTGTACACCTAAAATGACTGCCAAAGAACTTGGGAATAATTTGTTATGAGAATGAGTATAGTGGGTAAGCCCACTAATGTGTTGCTTTGTAGATGCATCATTTTGACAATGTTTTCCTTAGCTTTTATGTGGAATGTGCCAACTTTCTGAGTAGCTGTTTCTCACGACACAATTAAGCTATCCTAAGTTTTACAAATGTTTTTGCCAATTCACGGGCCGCCAATAGCAAAAGAAGTTAGCATTGTTTATCATAAATGGCCTTTTTGGCCTTCCAATCATATGGTGTCTTTGATTTGTTCCAAGTGTTTCATCTCTGGTGATTTGTCAAAATCAAAGTGATGATTCTCCTGATTTGGCTTATTTCTGAGTTCTGAAGTGCTGTGTTGACTAAACCACTTGACGCAGCTGATTATACCACCTTGTGAGCCCAGCAAATGTGTTCAATCAAAAGCTTGATTAGTTGAATCAGTTGTTTTAAACACAAAAAAAGCCTGCAGTCTTTGCAGCACTCCAAAACTCTTTTTTGTTTACTCTTTCAACTAGCTTCAACCCACACTGGCTGACGAAATTGGTCTTGTCAGGCCATTTGTCAAGCACTCTGTCCAAAACAAAAACCTTCTTGATACTGAGAATACTGATGTCACTAGCAGAAAAGAAAGATGCGAGTAGATATCTTAGCTTTTAGAAGTTGAAATATAGTTTAAGGGTGCAGGTTAAGGACTAAAATAATTATATTAACCCCAAACAAGTAGACCCTATTGGTTCTGTGCCCCCCGGGTGACTTCATTGGTCCTGCACGATGTTGATACAATTCCACAATTGCGTGGTGAACAAAGTGTATTTATTTATGTTGTAATTTTTCTTTTTGTAAATTTGAATAAAAAATGAACTATTTCAAAGAGATGAGTCAGACCCCTTCTGTGCTTTCTCCTGCAGTCTTCTGAGTTTCTAATCCGACTTCTGCTGCTAGTGTGTGTGTGTGTGTGTGTGTGTGTGTGTGTGTGTGTGTGTGTGTGTGTGTGTGTGTGGGGGGGGATGTGTATAGGTTAGTGTTTGTGCATTTGTTAACTTGTAACAAAGTGAGGACCAGAATACGTTTTACAAACGTGTGTGTCCACACTTCTTCAAAGGCCAGTTTGAGGGTTAAGACTTCACGTTAAGGCCAGAATAAGGTGTAGGTGAGGGTAAGCTTCCGGGTTGGGGTGAGGGTTAATTATGAAGGTAAATGTGAGTATAAGGGTGTAGGGAATATATTAAGTCAACAAGGGTCCTCACAAAAATAGAAGTACAATGTAGTGTGTTTGTGTGTATTCTTGTATTTTTCACACAATGAGGACCAATACAAGTTTTTAATCAATGGAGTTTTTGGAATGTGAGGAGTGTCTTCACTTCTTAAAAGGCCGGTTTGAAGGTTAAGACTTAATGTTAAAGTGTAGGCTAGAATTACGTTTAGGTAAGAGTAATAGCTGGGTTGGGGTTGGACCTTTAGTTGTGATGTTTAATGTGAGGATAAGGGTTTAGGGAATACATTATGTCAAATAGGGTCCTCATAAAGATAAAAGTACAGAGTGTGTGTTTGCAAGAGGAAGAGACGGAGAGCGATGGACGGATGTTCTGTGCAATGCATACAAATGTGTGCACAACTTGTGAGCATATCTTGTTGTGGTTAGGTGGGTGTGCCTCCTCAAATTGGCCCCTTGAAATTTCCGAGCCACTCAGAGTGTCTGTATGTGTGTGTCTGATTGCTGAAAGAAAGAACACCTTGTCTGGTCTGATCCAACCTGTCGGGGGGATGTGAGGTCAGTAATAGAAGGACAGACTGTGAGTTCAGCAGAGCAATCAGGCTTTCAGATGGACGAGGGGAGTATTCTGTTTATTCACCGCGAACAAAAAAGGAAGAAAAGGGCATTTTGAACTCTCGAGCACCAGTGAATAGAGTACACCTGACAGCTGTGACCAAATAACACAAGGCCACTTTACCAACCTCTGCAGCTCTCCTTTTATTCTGCAGCCTTCGTCCTGGCTGAATGATGGATCGGGGACATGTGGGCCATTGCTCTGTGACTGAATAGCTGGTTAAAAAGATTTATTACAATAATCAAATATGAAGGAGGGGATTATTTCTACATGATGGTTTAGAGAATGATCGTGTTAGCTGGGTCTCCGCTTGATTACAATGATAATACCCGCCTCAAGTCAGGAGAGGGAGAGAAACAGAGGGAGAGGGAAGGGATAGAGGGAACCATATTAGCAGTTAATATGCAAGTCTGTTTCATTACATACAACCCTATTTGTGATTGGGTTAGAGCTGATTCTGCTGAGCGCCAAGGAAAAACGCCTTGCCATCTCTTGTGTGTCTGTGCTTTCCCATAATTATGAGATTCATGAAGCTGGCTTGCCCCCATACGGAAGCAGCATGTATCTAAAGAGGATATGTAGTCAGTTGGAGGCAAAACGGAGCTTTAGCTGGCGTTAACCCCCCGCCATGAAACTGATAAAACATTCTTATCGATGTACGACTCCAATATGTATGTTTATCCCTCTGCCTTAAGCATCAACACTGCATTGCAGCACCCTACAGAGGTGAGTTGCTGCTGTCATGGCATTGTCAATAATTACAGCATGCATAATTGATCATATTATAATGGCGGGGCTGGAGATACAAATGAACTGTGTTAAGACCATACACCAGGGAATGACACTGTACTGGAGAGCTATACTCACACTCGATATGCTGCAGGATTGCATCACAGGACCTAAGAGTTGGTGTATGTGTGTGTGTATGTGAATTCAAGAAGATGGAGATTCCTCATTCGGTTTGAACCTTACTGACACAGAATCCCTCTGGCTATTCAGCACAGTGTGAGTGCTTGTGTGTGTCTGCGCCTGGGCCTGTGCATCTTTGCATTTTAAGTACATATAAGCTTTAAAAGTAGCTTGAAAACCCCAGAAAGGTGAATTTCCTCAGTAATTCAACTTTGTGGATGTTACAACTTCTCGCCCCAAAGTTACAGTTAACTTTTAACACCACCTGTCCGAGCGTATTTCCTTTTTTAACTGGCTCCATTCCTATTTTCCATCTGCTCTTTCTCCCTCCTCTTCTCTGGCGCTTCCAGGCTCGTGCGTTCCACTCGGGACGCTCTCAGAGTTCACTGGCTCATTTCAAGTGGAAAATTAAATCTTCATTAACAATCTTAATTAGAGTTCGATCTCCCCATAGAAAGCCGACAGAGAATCCATAGTGTAACAGGGGGAGACCTGCAGCGGGAGTTGGTTTCAGCTAGTTGGGGGTGGTGGGGGGGGTTGAGGGGGGGAGGATTAGTAGGGGTAATTAGTAAATGGGATCTTCAGGGTAAATTACACAAGAGGTATTTACACTTCACAGGCAGGGGGGGAATGGATGGCAGAGACGGATAATTAAAGCGGCCTGCTGGTTGATGGCGGACACTGCAATGAAAGTCGGACATGTTTGAGCTGCCTCTTGGTGACCATTCAGTTCTTGTTTCTGCATTGTTGGCAAACTAGAGCTCAGTGCGAGGGAGGGAGGAAGCGGAGGGGAGGAGAGCGGGGTTAAACGGGCCATTATTAGTCAGAAAATCTTCTTTGCAATCGCTTCTTGTCTTGCTTTTTGGTGACATGGTGTTACTTGGGGTGACATAATCCCTTATGCATTTGCCTAATACCAGACAGTAATTATTCAAGGGCACTACTAAGCATGCAGCCCAATGGACCCTCTCCTATTCACCTTTACATACTACTATAACAGCCTGCAGGTACTTGGCAACAAATAAATAAAACAGTTATGTTCCAGCACATTTAAATTATACGCACTGCTTGTAAAAATGAACGCCATAAACTCACTGCTGTTCAAGGAGTTTAGCACACAATGTTTCAGATTCAATACATTTATATTGGGGTGGTTTACCATGAGGAAATCTTTCCTCTGATGACGAATATTTATTTTCAGATCCAGAGTGCTGCTAGCAGGAAAACCATTACTAGAAAATGGTTAAAGATTAACATTATTTATGATATTTCCACAATCGAAAGGATTACCTTTCCTGTAAGAATGTAACAAGCAAGGAATATTTTCTTTGAGTTGGATAATGTAGGACCGGGTGGAGGGATTATGTCTCCACGCTGGCCTGGGAGCGCCTTGGAATCCCCCAGTCAGAGCTGGTTGATGTGGCCTGGGAAAGGGAAGTTTAGGGCCCTCTGCTGGAATTGCTTCCACCGGGACCACACTCAGGATAAGCGGGGTCGACAATGGATGGATTGATGGATGGATATTACACCAATCTGACCATCATCTGTATTAAGGGGATTGTTGTGGTATTTCCTTTTTTCTTTACCCTCTTTAAAGAGTGATTTGACCATCGTTAATGTTCACCTCAACAACCTTGTTATGTCATATTTAGTCCTTGTTCCTAATTTATTTTTGCATGATGTTTTAAAGGCCAGTAATCCTTACACGCCTCTGAAATATCCACACAATCTGTGCTGCATTGTTGTGGGCTATAATTGTAAATGACAGACGGCTAAAGGATAATATTAATCTCTATTACCTATCATATGGAGCTGAAAGTCATAATAAAAAGAGAATTTCACAAAGAAAAGAGACACTTATTTTCAATTCCTTTAGTGACCCTAGTGTAGTTAGCTATCCTGTCGGGGACCATCAGTGTCCCTCTGTAGTCTTCTTTGCAGAAGCATTTAGCTGAGGAAAATAATTTTTTTCCTGTAGTGTAACAGGCTCCAATTCCAGGACCTAATCCTGCGACAGGAAGCCTGCCACAAAAACCCTAAGTGAGACTCCACTACATTTCCCCCAAACAGAATAGATTATTCGCTCAGCTGTCCAGCGGCTGCCATATTTGCCGAGAACATACAGATACAAGTGGAAAAGGAATATTTGTAAATGCTGAGGGCAGAAGATAGTGTCTGGACCTTCGTTTTATTTATCTGCTCTGCGCGGTTTCCTGGGAGCTGAGCCGGTCCACTGCTCCGAGCAGGATGATCATATCGGCTGTAATGTTGTTGTGGCGACTCAAGACTCTGGAGAGAACACTGTGCATGTGTGTGTGTCAGTGTCAGTGTGTGTGTGTGTGTGTGTGTGTGTGTGTGTGTGTGTGTGTGTGTGTGTGTGTGTGTGTGTGTGTGTGTGTGTGTGTGTGTGTGTGTGTGAATGTGTTGGGAGGCACTCTCTTCACACAACTGATAATTAGTGGCAAAAAGAAAAATAGGACATGATAACCAATTACAAACACACACAAAGAGAGGGAGAGAGAGTTAAGTGTGTTCATTAGCCCTCTGTCAGATTGGTTAATTGTTCAATGAAGTGAGTGGAATAATAAGTTGCGGGGGATGTTATGCCGTTACTGAAATGTTTGTGGGGATTTATTCTCATCAGCAGAGCCTCTTATTATTGAAGTTAACAGCTGAGGGCGGCAGAAAAAAGGCAGACCCAGTGTTTGGTCCACTGCCCACTCACTAAATAGCAAACACTCGAACAGTGTGTCTGCTCATTAAGAAGTCCCTTGTCAACTGGCTCAAATTTTCTATTCCGCATTAGAGCCTTGCCAAATAAACCATATCCGTCCACCTGAGTAAACATTGGTTGAGCTTGAAATACAGTATATTGTCTGTGGTCCAATGGTTACAACAATATATCACAAGAAAAAGGCCATGCAGACTGAATTAGACATATTTAGTGCAGTACTCTCAGAGTCCCCCTTCCATGTGCTGCTATTTGGGATCCTAAAAGGTGCCATATTTTACAAAGTGAGAAATGCACACATTCTAAATCTAGAATTATTGTGTTTAAATGAGCCGTCACAACTTCCGTAATGTTGGGATGTTATGAAATAAACAATACATAAAGT